GCGCTACTCTACACGGCTCAAAACTCGCGTTTGAATCATCAGTGGCAAATTCTTTAAATATGAAAACGTACTTACAGGCTGTGAGTCAGAAGCGCCAGACTGTCCTTGCAAAGTTGGAATTGCCCCAATTTATAGAAACAACCTTTGTGCGCAGACGGCATTGTACGCTACTCTCCCAGGTTTAGGAAACAGTCCTCCGTAAAATGCGCTGCACACATCTGAATATTTGGGTTGAACTACAGCGAGAATCAAAGTCATGCCTTCTTTCTTTGAGTAAACATTTGGGCGGTGTTATGCAAATCTTCCCACACAGTGAAGTAGACATGTGGGGGCGTGTTTAAACGAGGCGCATTAGGAGGGCGTGGACGAGTCTTAACTTTTATAAAGATTATCTCTTTGGGTTTGAGACTTTAGTCTTTGCAACTTTAGTGATCTTTTCTATGCACGAACAATTTGTAACACTCCAAAGAGAAATGAAAACTTGAAATCGCATCATATGACCCCTTTAACTTAAATTTATAATCACATATTATCAAAAATGAAAGACCACCAAGCTGATCAAAGACAAATTTGAATATAAAATTCCACATCGTACAATCTTATATAAATCTATATATTAACTGGTTAATTTTGATGGTTTTATTTAACGTGGACAAGTCTAAAAATCAAGTCCACCATTTTTATAGCTTGTAATTAATAACTTTACGGATTTATGAGTATAATGCAGTTTGCGGAGAGGTGGAGGTGTAGCTGCTCTATTTAAAGATGTCTATCAATGCAAGCAAGTGTCATTTGGTCAGTACTTGTCTTTTGAATATCTAGGGATTGTGCTGAAAGGTACTCCACGCATTTTGTTTATCATTATTTACAGGCCTCCAAAATACTTTTCAGCATTTGTTGAAGAGTTCACAGAAATGCTATCAATGATTTCCTCAGAGTTTGACTGTTTTGCTATTGCAGGGGATTTGAATATTCACATAGATAATGCAGAAATCAAAACT